ACGGCGTCAGTTAGGCACTAGTACTTCATCTAGCCTGCGGAGATGCGTTGGAAAATCCGGTGAAAATATAACTACGTCATTCAATTAGCACAAGCACAGACCAAAAGGCATGACACAGAATTCGTAAAGGCCATCAGGTGTGACAAAGACCGTCTTAGGCTGATCTTCAGGTGCCAGAGGGACTACGTAGCCAGAGTAGCCACTACGTAGGTCAATAGGAGAGAAGTACTCCGCACGTTGGAGGCAGTCAAGGGCATCGTCAATTCTCGGTAAGAGGTAAACGTCCTTTCGAGTTTTGTTGAGACGACGGTAGTCAACACAGAAGCGAATCGACCCGTCGTTCTTCTTAACGAGAACGACTGGAGATGCCCAGGGGCTATTCGAAGGCTGGATGACGCCACGCTTGAGCATGTCAGCTACTTGGTCATCGATAACCTGGCACTCGGCTGCGGACACGCGATAGGGTCTTTGACACAGTGGCGAATTGGTACCCGTATCGATGCGGTGACACACAGCGGACGTGCGGCCGAGGGGAGTATGCTGGCAGTCAAAGGAAGAACGGAACTTCTCCAGCAGTCGTAGAAGCTGAGCACGTTACGAAATGGTTAAAGTGTTGGCGATGGAGCTGCTGAGTCCGTCAGGCCTAGTAGTCTGCGGCGAAGAGGCTTAAGTCACTCCGGCGACTTCGTGTTTGGCGGAAGAACCAGTCGACATGTGGACAATTGCAGAAGGGTTCAGCCTGTAAACCCACCCGGCGCACTCACCCCGAAGTAGTGTTACAAGACATGACAAGATGTTCCAGATGAGCAGTCTGCTGACGCCGTCATGAAGTTCTTGAGGGGCATAAGGTAGCGGCGAACACTTGCAGCGAACGAAAAAGGGCAGATGGCGTGAAAAGGGCACTCGACTCGGCGAGTGAGTTGCAAGTGAGAAACAAATAGTTTGTCCTCGGTTTCAAGAGGATCATTTAACGAAGCGTCGCCAAACAATTCAAATTCTACCTCAGCGCGAAAGCAGTCGATGACGGCGTTATTAGAGGAGAGAAAGTACCAAACCAAAATCAGGTCAGGGGAGCAGGAATCCAAAACTAATAATTCGACGACATAGATGAGGCCATCAATCGCGATGCGAGCAGTACAAGCAGCGGCTTGCTTGACGTGCTCTGCGCTGGCTTTACGAAGTGATATACTTGCTATTGGCGTCGTAACTTTTTTGAGCTAGCGGCAGTGTGGCACTGATCACTGATACTGGGGCACCAGTGTCGAGAAGAGCGAGTAGAGCGACGGCGTCCACATATACGTAGAGAGCATTCGCTGGGGAAGGGAGAGGCCTTGGTCTTTTCGCGAGCGACGCAGTTCCTGCCTCTGAAACGGCGGCATTCAGTTTTCCCGCTCAGGCGATGAGGAACGACGACGCATCGGGGATGGTGAGTGGTGCGAGGTGATGGCAAGCGGCGGTTAACAGGAGGGCGGTGGTCGGCGTACGATGAGATTTGGTCAGGGGGCTGCGAACCAGTGAACGAAGGGCGCGGTGGCACATAAGGGGCAGGCTCGAAGCTGTGGTGGTAGCTCGGGTGGTAGGCAGGGACGCGTCAACGGCAGTATCGCGCTATGTGGCCAGGCAGGCCACAGGCTCCACTACTGGAGGGACCTTGGCTGAAAGAACTTAGGAGTAGGGCGCGGTGGAACGGCTGATGGCAGTGACGTAAAAGTCTGAAGAGGTCGTCGAGCGGCCACTTCAGCGTAGGTTAGAGGTGCATTTACCTCGGCACAGGCACCTGGGGTCGGCTACAGTGAAGTGTCACGGGCAGATGGCAGAGCCGCGCAAACTTGCTCCTGGATGGCCTGGCGAAAGTTTGCTGGAGGAGGTGACTTTGTTTCGCCGACTGTAGATACCAGCGATAGCTGACAAGCGACTTCAGCACGAACAAACTCCTTGATCTGCGATAGCAGGGACTCAAAGTAAGAGGTGGTGGTTAGGCTTGAGAGTGTGTCATCCGCGACGTTAGGGCGTCGCGTGAGAATACGCTCTCACCGCAGCTCGTCGAAACTTTGGCACAACTCGATGAGCTCAGAGACAGTGACAGGTTTCTTTAAGAGCAGCATTTTAAAGGCGTCGTCGGGAATGCCTTTCATGATGTGTCGTATCTTGTCAGTTTCCGCCATCGTCGGGTCGACACGCCGGCAGAGGTCGAGGATGTCCTCGATTTAGCTAGTGAATGTCTCACCAGTTTGTTGGGACCGGCTTCGTAGACGTTGTTCTGAACGAAGTTTGCGCACACCAGGACGCCCAATAACATCTGAGATGCAGGCTTTGAAGGTTGTCCAAGTAGGAATATCTACCTCATAAATTCTGTACCATAGCTTGACAACACCCGTTAAATAAAACATCACGGTACCAAGCTTCGCGGGATCGTCCCATTTGTTAGTAGCACTGGCTCGTTCATAAGATTCCAGCCAATCCTCAACGTCTTTCTCATCGGTGCCGCTGTACATGTCTGGTTCTCGCAAAAGCTGGGCACCAGGACAGCCCCTGCATGGCGAAGCTGCTGGGGGTGTGAAGACAGCGTCATCAGGCATGACGAACGGCAGCTTTTGGCTACGCAGTTCCAGGACTGGGGAAGACCGCAGCACTCTCTACCAAAATATAATGTTAATGCAAGGTCAAAAGCGGTAGCAGCGTCAGTACAGAAGCAGCAAGAGCAGACTGAGTATACGGGCAGCGTCGCAGCAGCAACCAGGCAGCCTTAGCTCAGGCCTCGCGCCAACGTGTCAATGTCGCTGCAGTTGTGGGCATTCCTCTTCACTGCAGAGTGTACGGCTGCGAAGTTTCAGGGTGAGGACCAGATGTATCCCAGCACCTTCATCAGTTGAAACGGCGTGTTGAACAAGCAGGAGTTCACTCGGTGAACGAGAGATTTATTTAGCGCAAGGGCTAACTGAATGCAAGTCTACGATCACAGCACGTCTTCTTCTTTTTTCTCTACTCGAGCTACAAGTCCACTGCCGTCGTTACAACAGCAATGAAAGACAACTGACAACGGAGCATTCTAGGTTGCGTAATAAAGTGGTTAGATGCAGATATGGTGATACAGAGATAGATAATGCAACTGCAGAGGCGAAAAATACCGGGGCCATTTGTGGTGGATAAAATGCGTTTGGAACCCCTGATTGTGAATTACATTGCTCGTGCACGCACTTTATATCTTCGGCAAAATGTTTATGCCAAAGTTAACGCATTTAGGCGTTACAAAACCCATGTCGAAGTTCTTGCCTCGAACTCCATGTCATGCGATGATAGCTTGCACTTAAATTGCCAGTTTTTGCACTCTAAAATAACTGAAACACCCTATTTAGCTTTGATGAGATTTCTACTTTCCTGAAGTGAGGTTGTATTAACAAATGAGCTTGCCAGGTGTTTGATTTTCCGGAGACCACGCCTCAAAACCAACGAAAGAGAAGGGCCTATGTGGGCGCTCCCTTGTGGATGGCTTTCTTTGCACTACCCAGTGACAGCCAGTGCGGCGATGAGGGCACTGGTGCTGGCGTTTTTCGAAGCGGCATCTGGAGAAAGTCTGACGTTTACTACTTTAGTTTTACTTACTCTCTTCACATGCATATACGCAAGAGAAGTCTCATGACATTAATATACACGTACGCAAACTACTTAAAATACTGCTCATACTCGCGTCAATGAAGAAAACTTATGCCTGTGCCCCTCCCCCCCCTCCCCCCCCAATCCTTTTCGTTTGGTGTGAACCTCACTAATCCTCAAAAAACATTTTTGGCTATGCTCTTGGTGTACTTTGCATAGTGCAACGAGACTTCCTGGAAGCATATGTGTGCCTTTGATTGTTCGTTGCCTCAGTGATTGAAGCAGTTATTTCCATAGAAAGAATGATGTTTTTGTTCGGTTATCTTATACTCACAAGGCTGTGACAGATGTCGGTGTGAAATTCGAAAGCCCGAGAAGGTTTACATTGTATCCCCTGACCTTAACATAACAACTAAGGTCGATGAGGAGGGGAATGAGGACAATACGAATGAACTAGGGACTAAAGGAATATTAGGAGCATAATTTTTGTTTTCATTCAGGTAAAAAGCTTTGTTCTGTAAACGCGAAATCTAAACAGCATTGTCAGTTTGCTGATGACTGATCACAGAATCTAGTCGCTATGTGCAAAAATCAAGCGGCCACGCGTAAAAGTAGAAAAAATTAGAAAAAAGCGTAGTGTTACAGCGAACCGTTTTCAGCAGCGGTAACAATGACATTGAAGGGCCTGAAGCCTACAATCAAGCTGCGAGTAATTACAGAAATTTCACTCTCGGGAAAAAGTGATGATAGAGCATATTTATCAACGTGATCGAAATGGCCGGTAACGACGCATACAGTCTGCTACCGATATGGATGTTTCAGCAGACCCTCTATGCAGAGACTATTGTCCTTTCGTCGTAAAATGGTAAGAAAATGACTGGGCCTTGTTGGACCCAGCAAAAGTATGAAAAAGATCACATACACTGTGGTTGCGGTTAACTCCATCCATACAGACATTTTCACTAAAAGCTTTTAATACAATTAAGGTCTGCCAAAATATATTTTAATGATGTTACTAGAGGTTTGATGTTACTTTTTCCATAAAGTGCAAGTGCTTCGGTCAGTCTCGTGGGCCAAGACAAATTTGGTATTTGGTCGGCAAAGTACTAGCGTACTCACCATTCTTGCATCAAACCATCTTTTCCGTGGGTATGTCGAGAGACCAGCGTGCTTTCTGAAGTACAATATCTATACATGTGAATAAAAGTACTTAAATGCTATACAACTTTGCACTTGTTCTTTCCTATTTCACGTAAAGAAACATGCGAAGCCTCAATGAAATGTGGCCAGTAGTTCATAGGTTAGCCCTAACGGGTTAAGATCGCTAATCGAATTTTATTTCTCTGCGATTACCTCAATTGTTGCAGCCTCTCCATTTCATAAGGAACTTTTCTTTTTGTTTGCAGATGCGCATCTTAGCTATCAATATGGCCTCAATAGCCATTACGCATACTGCTCCATCACGCTCGCCATCCTTATTGTACCGACTGTCACTTTAAATGTGTTGAGTTTCGGCTGGCACAAACAGGATGGTGGAACCTCGTCAGCTACCATAATTGCAGCTCTGATTCAGCTAGGGATGTTTCACAGGTAAGCAAATTTCTAATTCACTGCAAGAATGCACTTGGTATTAGCTATTTCCAAGCGGCATAGAGTGCATTGCTGTCGAAGATGCAAAAACAAAAAGAAAACAAAAAGAAGGTCTATTGAAATAGTCACAGCTACTGAATCTGCATTGGCAAACAATAGGCTAAGTTTGCCCCATAATCTGCTAAATCAACACAACTATGCCTGGACGAAAATTTTGATTGCGTGTCCTACAAACTACGTACAGTGACTTTAGCAAGCCAGAAAGAGCTTCTGTGAAAACTTTCGAGAGTTGTGCTAGCTGGTAGGGCACCATACTTGGGTACCGCGCGAGAACGACGAAGACAGAAGAAGACAGAACGTACACATAGGAGCGCTCGTGCGTGTTCTTTCTATAATCTTGTCCTCACCGTTCTTGTTGTGTACGTGAACAAACATTCCACAAAAGTGTCGTGGCAATCAAGCGCTTCACATCTTCAACAGCCCACTCTGCATCGTGTTGTACTGCAAAATAAATATTCTGTCCCACCGCTTTGGTCTAGTGGCTAAGGTACTCGGCTGCTGACCCACAGGTCGCGAGATCGAATCTTGGCTGCGGCGGCTGCATTTCCGATAGAGGCGGAAACGTTGTAGGCCCGTGTCCTCAGATTTGAGATCAAGGGAACGAACCCCGGGTGGTCGAAATTTCCAGAGCCCTCCGCTACGGCGTCCTTCATAATCATATAGTGGTTTAGGGATGTTATCTCCATATATCAATCAAACAAAATTCGAAATGCTTGTTATTTGAGCTCTGGTTTACCAGATAAATCACTGCTTTTAGAAGACAATTTTGTAGAATCTCGCAATTGACAGCTTTTTCACTTTCAGGAAATACGAGAGGTTTTATATAAGACGACATTCGTAAATGGATCTCGATGCAAGCAAGCCCACAAGGCACGCTGGAATGACACACCAACCATGATACAGCCAATTGTGTGTTTCAGACGGCTTGCAGTTTTTTATGGCCAGATACTGCTACGCCATGCCTCTAATAAATTTCAACGTTTAGACGCTGCGCAATGTTCCAATCATAACAGTCGCAAAGGCAGCTTCCCTGCGTAGCCGGTAATGATGACAACCTATGCATTGAGAGTCAATCTTGTTGTAACCAAGAGCGCTCTCTCTGCTAATAAAGGAAAAGAAAACCTTACACAAGGACAATAAATAATTCTGAACTTCGTTTTGTACCTCCCGAATAAGCTCGCTCATTTGTTTGGGTAGTGGTCTCATCAGTACGCCATTGTGCGCCACAATACCTTGATTTAGGGAGGTTAGTGAACTTTGTGAGCGTCCACAAACCTACCAAACTACATCGAAAGGAGGAACACACACAAGAGGATTTGTCCTTATCCTACGGCATAGGCGCTGAACTTGTGTCTTTCGTCTGTAGTTTCCGCTCTTTATCAATAAACACTGCATTTCAGTTGCATTGCTATACTTCCTTCGTCTTTTAAATTCTAGCCACAAGCCGCTAGTGGGAGGGCCTTACTAATATCAGGGTGATATACTTAAATAGTAGCAAAATCTGCTAAAAATGCCATGCATTTATAGCCTTGTTCATAACAACTCACCCATAATGGTCTAATGGGGTGTTACAAAGCTGTGTTATTTACGAACATCAATATTGTAAAACAAGAGTGTAATAAAGATGTTCATAACAGTGCTTAAAACGAAAACGCCATTGTTACATCATTACGTGTGTAAAAGTTTTGCTGTGTGAGTGATCCTGTCAATGTTTACAGAGAGCACAAATTGCGGAATCGCCAAAAAAATCTTGAAGACTATAAAGGAAAAATGAAAAGTCTTCACGAGATAAGCGCACTTACAAACAATTAAAGCAAGATTTGACATAATTAATAATTACTTTCTTATTGTTTCTCTTCAGACTACGTAGTCAACAAATGTTAGAGGTCATTATATACATGTCAATCTTGCTAAAAAGATCTATGCTTTTGTTCCCTACACAGTATGGGTTTTGTTGCTCCTGAAAGTTATCGCCTGGTAAACATTACAATGGGGCCGCTTAAACAACGGACAACCTGTCGTTGTGCAAGAAAAGTGCGTTCACAGAACGAGATAATAAGGGATGTACCGCTGGAAAATATATTTATCATCACCATTATCCTTCAGGACAAAGGCCTCTCCCATGTCACGCCAGTCAACTCAGTCCTGTGCTTGCTGCTGCCATTTCTTTACCCGCAAGCTCCTTTACTTCATCTGCCCACCGAACTTTCTGTCTGCCCCTAACCCGTATGCCTTCTGTGGGATTCCAGTCAGTTACACCTAATGACCAGCAGTTTTCCTGTCTACACGCTATGTGCCCGGCCCATGTCCGATTCCTCTTCTTGATTTCAACTATGATAGTCTTCATTTTTGATGGAGGCGAAAATTCTGTAGGCCAGTGTGCTCAAATTTGGGTGCACGTTAAATGAGCCCAGGTGGTCGAAATTTTCGGAGCCCTCCACTACAGCATCTCTTATATATATGGTGGTTTTGGAAAGTTACAACCTACCTGTAAATCAAACTATGATATCCTTAACCCAGGTTTGTTCCCTTATACACCACGATCTCTTCTTGTGTCTTAAGGCTACACCTACCATTTTTCTTTCCATTTATCTCTGCGTCGTCCTCAATTTAGGCTGAACCCTCTTCATAAATCTCCATGTTTCTGCTCCGTAGGTAAGTACCGGCAAGATGCAGCTGTTATATACCTTCCTCTTGAGGGATAGTGGCAATCTACCTGTCATGATATTAGAGTGCTTGCCAATTGGGCTCCACCCCATTAATATTATTCTAGTTAATTCAATCTCGTGGTTCGGCTCCACGGTTATTACCTGTCCCAAGTACACATAATCTTTTACAACTTCAAGTGCACTACTACCCATCTCAAAGCGCCCTTATCTTCCGAAGTTGTTGTACATTACTTTTGTTTCCTGCAGATTAGTTTAAGACCTACCTATCTGCTCTCTTTGGCTAACTCCGTTATCATGAGTTGCGATTCGTTCCCTGAGTTACTCAGCAATGCAATGTCATCAGCGAAACGCAAGTTACTAAGGTACTCTTCATTAACTCGTAAGCATAACTCTTACCATTCTAGGACTCGGAGAGCCTCCTGTAAGCATGCGGTAATAAACATTGGGAAGATGGTATCCGCCTGCCTCACGTCCTTCTGGATCGGTATTCTGTTGCTTGCTTTATGAAGCATTATGATAGCAGTTGATCACCTGTGTATTTCTTTCAGGATGTTTATATATGCTTCGTCGATGCCCTGATTCCACAGTGTCTGCATGGCTGCTGATATTTCTACTGAATCAAACGCCTTCTCGTAATCTATGAAGGCTATGTATAGTGGTTGGCTATATTCATAGCATTTCTCTATTACCTGATTGATAGTATGAATGTGGTTCATTGTTGAGTAGCCTGTTCAAAATCCTGCTTGTTCCTTTGGTTGATTGAATTTCAATGTTTTCTTAACTCGGTTAGAAATTACCTTTGTAAATAGCTTGCATACTATGGAGAGCAAGCTTATCGAGCTGTGATTCTTGAAGTCCTTATCATCTTCTTTTTTATGTAGTAAGATGATGTTAGCATTCTTCCAAGACTCTGCTACTCTTCCCGTCAGGAGACACCTCGTAAACAGGGTGGCTAGTTTTCTAACACAATCTGTCCTCCATCTTTCAGCAGATTTGATGTTACCTAATCCTCACCAGCAGCTTTGCCTTTTTGTACGCTCTCAAAGACTTTTCTAACTTCTATCATTACTAGTTGGGTGTCATCTGGGTGACTGCTTGTTATTATAGTAAGGTTGTGGTTTTCCCGGCTACTGTACACATTTCTGTAAAACTCCTACGCTTTTTAAACTAACTTATCTTATCTATCTTAACTATTATATCTTATATTAGCTTGGAAATGTGAAGGCTGGTTATTGCAAACAAGGGGTTCATTACACAACGAAAACTATGCCGCGAATATATAGATGTCTTACACATAAGTAGTGGCTATCTAGTTTCTCCGCATAACGACAAATGGTAGTGTTGTGGTTGCTTCTCTACGTCAGAAATAATATACTAATTCATTCCATGGCGGCTATTTTTCTAGTGCAACATTAGTAGTTGCACCAAAAGTCTGCACCCGGCGACCACCCTCCTGGCTTTCACTGTTATTGTGTTGTGCACTTCCGGCAAGCTAGCTCTTTTTTTATCACTCCTACATATGTAAAGTTGTAGCACCAAGTTGCGAAAAATGCATTATTCTAGCAATCTTGAAAGAACCAATATGCCTGTTGTGCTACAGCGGTGCAAATCATAACGCTCGAAAAGACAAAATCAAATGCTTAGAGAGGTACATAGAGTGTAAAAAATCAAGTTTTGTAAACATCACTTCAGGGGTGCCACAGGGCTCAGTCTTAAGGCCACTCTTATTTTTAATATATATAAATGACATTTGCTCAGGAATTGATTCTAATATACGGGTGTTTGCAGATGACTGTGTCTTGTACAGAAAAATTAGAAATGAGAGTGATGTCGCCCTGCTCCAAAGCGACTTATCGCACATCCAAGAATGGTGTTCAAGGTGGAAAATGACATTAAACGCCAATAAATGCATTCGTGTTACTTTCACGCGTAAAAGAACCAAGTTAGCTTCAGAGTATGTAATCTGTAATAGTATCGTAAGACAAAAACAGCTTTTTAAATATTTAGGTGTAACTTTTTCAGCCGACTGTTCATGGAATGCACACGTTGATTCAGTTGTTGCGAAGGCCGCTAGGTCACTAAATTTTATACAGCGCAGCCTGACACAAGCGCCGGCATGTTTAAAATCAACGGCGTATTCAACATGCATTCACCCTATGCTTGAATACGCCTGTGCCGTGTGGGACCCCTGGCAAAGTACTTTAGGTTACAAACTTGAAAAAGTACAAAATAAAGCTGCAAGGTTTGTCCTAAGCCGGTACTGAAGAAATGACAGTTGCACCAATATAAAAAATGAACTAGGGTGGGAATTACTCTCATCGCGTCGAAAGAAACTGCGGCTAAAGCTCCTGTACCAAATATTTCATGGTAAAACCGGCATTCGAAAAGAAAAGTACCTTCACAGTCCTCATTATATCTCTTCGCGAAATGATCATTGTTTCAAGATTTTAGAGTAACGTACCAGATCTAATTTGTATGCTAATTCGTTTTTTGTTCGTTTCATTAGAGAATGAAATGACTTATCAAATGAACAAGAGTGCTGTATTAATGAAGATGTGTTTTTCTCGACATTGTAACCCCCTCCCCCTGCTGCAGCGCCTTCGCGCTAAGCGGGGTAATCATTGAATAAAGAATAAATAAAATAAAGAATAAAGAATAAACAATTGTTTTAAACATTATTTAAGGACACATACTCTACATGAGGCAAAGCTAAATGAAGGGGTACTGTATCGTCTCCACCAAAATAATACGTGGGATTCTCTTGAGTTTGAACGGAAGTAACCTTACCATGGCCTAATTTGCGTGTGTTTGAGTGGAACGAGACCTCAGTTAGCAAGTATCCAAGTAAGCGAGCAATTTCTCATGAGCCTAGATTTATTAGAGCCATGAGCATGAAATGCAATTTTGTGAGCAGTATGTCCGAGCATGTTATGACATCCGCATATGTAAACATCGTTCACTATTTAAAATTAGAATTACTGGCACATGGTCTCTTCGCACACCGGATACACAAGTAACTTTGGCTGCTCTGCCTGTTTGCGACAATTTCACCTCCGCTTGTCTTGACAACAGGCACTGCCAGGTTTTATGGCTGAGCATCGGAAAGGTGTCTAAGAATCTGGAAGCTCTTCATACAATGGAGAAGAAAACGGCAGATTTACGCCTGCTGCACCTGTACGAGGTTTTTCTCAAGTCGGCACTTCAGATATCATTTCAGATTTACCTGATCTACGACACTGATGCCTGGAACAAGTTCACAGGTTTGAACAAAACTGTTTGAAGATCTTCTCTAGATATCGAAACACTACTCCCTTATAGCATCAACCATTCCTGCAGAAGATACAAAACAAATTAGGGCTCAATTGTGGTTTAGAACAACCTTAGAATAGTGTGGAGGAGTTGAAAGCAACATTAGTGATTTTAATTATGGCTAGCCCCCTTGCCTTTGCTGCATAAACATGACTTCTTCCAGTACTAATAAGCTATGTTTGCAGACTCGTTTGTACTGTATTGCAGACTTTTTTGAGCAGTTCACTTTTCGTGAAGGTCATTGTCGGAGTTCACTAATCTAGATCAGCCTTTGTAAAACTTAAGTCCTAGAGTTACAAGCTCACAAAAGCCACGACTCTGTTATATGAAGAATTTTCTATAGCAGGTAAAGCTTCTTAACGTGGGACGCCTTAGAAATATTTTTGACACAATGTAGTGCCCTGAACTCCTATATTTTTGCATAAGACTGCATTCTTCAGCTAGCAGTGGTATGCAGGCAAATTCTTGACTCCTTCAACTGCAACGCTTCGCTATTTGCAATGTGTGTCGGTGTGGCGTCGCGATGCATTCGCAAGAGAAAGTGCACATACACTCATGGTTGTCGCAGTAATTTGTCAATAGCAGAGCCTCTGTTTGTCAAATTGATGCACCTGATTTTGGTAAAATAACCATTCGTATGGCACTAGATTCTAAATATCGCCTTATTATGAGCAGTAAACATTTATCACGTAAAAATAGCCCAGCATCAGTATATGTATGCGAATAGACGCTACGGGGTGGGTCCGAATTACAGGTCGATTCTCGTTCTCCGATGCAATGTCTGCACCAGCGTCCTCATTTACAGCGTTTTTGTCAATACGAGTTAAGCAAGAAGGTCAAATGCTCTGTTGGCCACTGCTAACGAAGATCTGTTATGACGATAGAGCATTTGCGAATCGAACGCTAGAAAATGCATTATCTTTACGCTGAGACGCAAGTGAGCACAGGTGAAGCACATGCGCTTTTGCGTGTAACATAATATACTATATCGCAATGCGAAGCTTTCTTCCTAAATACTTTATTCGATGCGCTTCATTTCTCTTTGCCGTAATCACCAACAAAGAGTATCAGCTAATCACAAAACAGTAACTTGCACGCTTTCTCATTTTACACGATGTTGTATGAAAACAAATTCTCCGCCTGCAACGTTGATGAGCATCAGTGACTACATTCAAGTTAAGAGAACTTTCAATACGCTGAATACACCATCCTCCCGTTTGTGTTTTTTTCGATCAACTGATTTTTTGTATCTTTCCTTCCTCACCTGCTGAGATCACTGTTGAGCATTTGATTTAATAAATTGTTTTGTATTTACAAGTATGATTAATCTTTCTCACAAAACTGTACTCATCTATTGGTACGAAAATTTTGTGCACCTTTTTTGCCTTTTTTTATTACTGGGAATCGCCTTTTCTCTATGAAATGCATTATGTATTCTCAGAGCAAAATATTCACCACATAAATATCAACCCCGCCTCGCTAATCGCTTCAGCTAATATTATGCACTACTCAAATTGTGTTTGTCTCTGCAGTTGTTTCAGTGTCTCTGTCTTTCCTGTCACTGTGTTGGGCAGTCATCGAGTATGACGTCGCTACGTGGAGATTGAAGCACAAGAACAAGACAGAGTTAGTCTGCAGCATGATCATTCATGAACTTGGAAGGGTTATTGTTGTGCTGTCACGCATTGTAGCCATGGCTATGATGATGATCGCTGATGACGGAAATGCTCCCTTCATATTTAGTAAGCATTATTTTACGGATACAAAAGCTTCTGTTCGTGCAATTTTCAGCTTCACTTGTACCATGTAAACCAAATAGAGTCAATATCATGACGGCTTAATGCTCATAATTGTCATTCGTCTTTATGTGTACCCTTAGCTGAGTGCTCATTCGTAAAAAATTGTCAGTATTATGAACCAGAAGCAGGTATTTACGTGCGCAATACTACTAATCACATTCTTGTTATATATTCTACTGAAATATGTCAAGGTAATGGCGGCTTATGGCTTGTTTTAGTTTTGGTACCAAGTTTTGCGAGGTGTGAAGTTTTGGTGGTTACGGCATATCGTGGGCTTAATACGTAGGTCGACCTCACTGGCGTGAAAGGGATAGCTAATGGTCTAATGTTAGAACGACGTCCACGTAAGATCAAAGAAGGTTACTTGAATTGAAACAAAGCGACAGCTACGTTACTTTCTGTATACCTTCTGTATACTTTCTGAATACCTTTCTGTATACTTTCTGTAGACGAGTGCCGCAACACTATAATTTCTCGAGCCACAAGAACACGCGTCTAATATTAGGAATACATGTCTAAGTTCTGAAAATGGCAGTTAATATTGCAACCAAGAATGACTTCGAATGAACAAAAACGCACGATTTTCGGTACTTCACGTGAGAGATTTACTTACTATTTATGGGACGTTGTTTCTGACCAAAGGTCGCTGCATCACATTGTTAGCGCTTATCTACTACCTCAAATTCGTAAAAAATCAAATTTGCTATGCTAGATTGCCAATTAATGCCACGTATTTGTCCTAATTGACTAATAGGCATTGTATTATACAGTTTGCAGCACTTTTTTGTGTTTTTCCGTTGACAATGAGAAAGAGGAGCCACAAAATGACCCCATAACGAAAGCTCCTCGATAAAGAAGTCTGACAAGTAACGGGGTGCGCTCCCCGTACATTACGCTGCCAGCGCTCGATAAACAAGAACTCGACTGAAAACTCATGCACATATCGTTAAGTAATTTAAAAACGAAGCAAGTTTTTTTAGAGCTGTTGCTTAGAATATTCGTTTACGGACTCTAACTACGTACAGAACATATACAGCAGGCGCACGTTGCACGCCATCATTGACATGAATGATTTCCGAAGGAATTATTGCTTGAAATCAATAGCTAAGATGCGGTAATGGTACGAAATGAATGAGAGTTACTAATGACAGGTCCCGCATTTCTATCTGTTGTGAGCTATCCTGTATGCAGTTTCTTAATCGTAAGCACAAAACGAGGTGAGGAGAAAAAAGTTCTACACACCACACACTCAATTATGTAGGATTGAGTGGCTCTTGTGGTTTCAATAATGTTAATTCTTCCTAATCATGTCTGCTGTGAGAAGCGTCTAGGTTGTGCGTAGCCTTTCTAATGCTCTCGTTTTCGTACGGGGTACCAAGTGTGTTAGACAAATGTGTCTGTCTCCTTATGTAATGAATAATGTCAAATACCTCACTGATACATCGTCAAGCTTTCTTTCATTCACTTGTGGAACATACCTCAACACCACTTCCTGTCGTGTGCGCGTGTGTGCCCCACCACATTGACAAATACCGCACTACTAGAATTAGTGAACACATACCTTGGCTACTCAATGACCGAGGCATTGAGAAAAATCAACGTTGGCATCGTTTGCTCGACAATTGCAAAAAAGCACATCAGGACTCAAGCAAAAATAGCATCCGAACGTTTTACAGGAAGGCATGCTCTCTACCACAAACCTGCGCCAGACCTTAAAACTGCTTTGAAAGAATACCCTCGATAGGCGTAACGATAGTTCGGTTTCATTGTGGTTGAGCTGCTGGTTATCTAATTTACTATCAAAGCGCATGTACTTTAACGACACAGATGTCATGCGTTAACGTCTCTGGTTAAAGTGTTGGCTTCGCTCTAATGGAATTTTAATAAATTGTGTATATTGAAACGCTCTGGGAGATTTGACCAGGCAAGGCCAGCAGGACCATTTACTCAGTGAAGCCTATCTCGGTTCCAAACACCGCCCCACCGCGGGGGTCTAGTGGCTAAGGTACTCGGCTGCTGGCCCCCAAGTCGTGGGTTTGAATCCCGGCTGCAGTGGCTGTGTTTCTGATGTAGGCGGAAATTTTGAAGGCCCATGAGCTAAGATTGAGTGCACGTTAGAGAACCCCAGGTGGTCGAAATTTCCGGAGCCCTCCACTACGGCGTCTTTCATATTCATGTGGTGGTTCTGGGACGTTAAACTCCACATATCAATCAATCGGTTCCGAACACCAAACAAAACAAACGATGACGATGAGCATGTACAATTGAGAACGATGAAGTACTTGGAATGTGCTAAAACTTCTCACCCCCCCTTCTTCTTCGAAGTGGTTAACCTGGCCGCCACTCAGAGATGGGCTGAATGAGTAACAAAAGGCATCATTCGCAAACGACAACAAGTTTTGTACAGCGCAGACACTGGTGAGTGAAGACCTCAAGTGGGGTGAGGAAATAGTTCAATGTAGGTGTCTGTGGTACAACGGTGCAAGGACCAACATACTAGTGAAGAAATTTTTCGCAAAGCCCTGACGCTCAAACTTGGTTGAATAGTAAAGCGTTATCACCGGCATTAAAGGCCACAGTGCGTCGTCTGCAATCACAGCGATGTTTTCTCTTCTTTTGCGTCGCTACCGGGTTTTTGTTAGTGATCTCACGGAACTGCGTACTCGAGCTGCGAGCTCTTCTTGGAGCAATGTAGAGCTCATTGCAGGAGCAAAGAAGACAGCCGCGTCGCTGAAGAGAAGGCAGATTGTCCATTCGCTAGGAAAAAAGACTTGTAGCCAATCAATCGTTGCATAGCTGTGTTTTAGGCGAAGGCAAGAAACGGTAATAAGTTATTCAAGTTTTTTGTGGTGAGGACGAAAATACATGAATATCATGTCAGACAGTGTCTAGTTGAAGTGCTCAGTAAGGCCATTATTTTGCGGATGGTATGTAGAAGTTGTATTATGCGCTGTATTACACGCCCGCAAGACTTACTCGAGGACCTTGGTAACGAAGGCTTTGCCATAGTCTCTCAAAAGAACGCGAGGACCTCCGAACGCTCGATATTTACCGGAGAATTGAACAGAGCCACACATTTTTAACATACGCCCAGAGATGGCCAGGAACTCGAAGAGGGCTTTATTGTACTGAGCAATAGCTAGTAGTTCATTTCTTTTTCATTGAATTTTTTCTCTGACTACGAAACCAGATATGGCCAATGGCTATCACATGAAAATCATCGGTATCAATACGGTGTGCAGCCACGGAAGTCTGGCTCAGTGTTTTGGCACAACTGTGGAAGCAGGCCATGTGCTAAGCTAAAAGTACCTATAGACTGTTCGAACGTGAGTTCTAAGCTGATGGCAGCTCGAAAGTAGAAGGAACTTGAAGCTGAAGCTGGTACTGGTGACAAAGGCGGGCAGAATGCTGCGATAGAAATCAATGGAGAAGAGGCGAACGTTGCCACCGTCGGGAAGCAGCATGGAACGTGCAGTTGTGTTGCAACACAAGAGCCCGTCCACAAGAAAAGCGGAGGAGGAAAAAGGCCACGAGAACTTCACGTGAAGCGCAGCGAAAAGAGGCGCCACTAGTGCATCACCATCGGCTTTTTGGGAAGATGCGACAACTATCGCGTGTTTGTGACCAGGGCATAGGACGCAGTCTGCAACGGTGACCAAGCCAGAGACAAGGGTGACAAGACCGGAATGGGAGCATTTATTGAACGCAAAGTATTTTTAGCGAACTTCGGCGACTTTGAGCGTATCTATCCATCTACCTATCTATCTAGCCGACTACCACATTTAGCTCTCCTGGCCGTTTCAATAGTGGTATCAATACCGAAATTGGTATGGCATAACATGCCTGTATGAAGAACATAGTTGACTAGTTATAACGTCAAAACCATGACACTATGTCATGAATGTCATGAGTTACATTTCATGGTCCTGCAGCTCTTGCGGTGGTTGCGTTCACACGGCGCGTTGAAAAACTGATATGGTATGACATTATTGCATGCGAACACAAGCGAAAGACACTAACATGAAAATCATTACATGCCTGTCATGTAAGAACATGACTACATGCCAGGCTCATGATGCGCTCGTGGCCGTTTCGCTAGCGTTATAAACCATATTTGGTATTACAGTACGTGAATCGATGACGAAGGTATGTTAATGGTGCGAACATGATAATCATGAGACGCGCGTCATGTAACAACATGATTACATGCCACGCTCATGATGGGCTGGTGGCCTTTCCGCTAGCTTCACTTATACCAAATTTGGCATTTACGAGACCTGAATGGATGACAAAGGCATGACACTGGTGCGAACATTATAAACCTGAGATGTGTGTCATGTAACAACATAACTACAAGCTATGCTCATGATGCGTTCGCAGCCGTTTCGCTAGGTTCACATGTACTAAACTCGGTATTACGTGACGCGAATGGACGACATAGGTAAATGACACTTGCAAACACGATAATCAGAACATGCGTAACATGTAACAACATGACTACATGCCACACTGATGATGCGCTGGCGAACGTTTCGCTAGCTTCACATATGCCAAATTTTGATATTACGTGACACCAATGAATGACGAAGGTATGTGACTGGTGCAAACATGATAATCATGAGATGCGTGCCATGTGAGAACATTACTACATGCCACAGGCGAGGCGCCAATACATTTCGACGTGACGCGGTGCACGTGCTCGCCGACGTTCACTTCGACGTGTCACGCCGGCGTTGCCATGCCAGGCGCCGTTCGGGCCATTTACTCGCAGTCGCGCGCAGCGCTGCGTTGCTTTGACGCATACGCGTTTCAGTGCGTCCAGCGTCTCTCCGTCAAGAAAAGAGGGAGACGCAGTGTTGCCTGGGTAGCACACCAGCGCGAGATGTAGCATATCGCATTTGGCCCCGGTTACCTTAGGGCCGCGCCGACGGACGCTGGTCGCGCCTGGTGTCAGACTTTACAGTGCTCGCGTTTTGCTAACGTAGCGTCACTGTGCCTAGAGTGCGCGCGTGTCAACTCTAAATTGGAGTATATTTGGGCCATTCGTGATGCGCTTGCGACTGTTTTGCTAGCTGCACATATACCAAATTTAGTGTTACATGGCGTCAATGAATGACGAAATATATGACTGATGCAAACATGATCTTCCTGACGCGCGTGTCATGTAAGAACAAGACAACATACGACGCTCGCAGAGTGCTTGCGGCCATTTAGCTCGCTCCAAGTATACCAATTTTGATATTACGTGACGTGAATAGATGAAGAAGGTAAACGACACGTTTAAACATGATAATCATGACACGGAAGTCACGTACGGCATCATTCACTTCCACCTAGCAACGTTGTGCTGATTTTAAAGTTTGATATCAACATTTTTCTTTCGTGCTTCGCATATCATCGATTTCCACTGTACGTGGGATCTGCCATTTTTGTATCTGTGATGTGAACGACTTTTCTTTAAAGAATATAACAGCAGAAGCAGAGTGTAGGAAGTACGAATTGATGATTAGTTGTGAACGCTCGTGGGAATCACAACCCCCCGCCCCGCCGCGGTGGTCTAGTGGCTAAGGTACTCGGCTGCTGACCCGCAGGTTGCGGGTTCGATTCCCGGCTGCGGCGGCTGCATTTTCGATGGAGGCGGAAATGTTGTAGGCCCGTGTACTCAGATTTGGGTGCATGGTAAAGAACCCCAGGTGGTCAAAATTTCCGGAGTCCTCCACTACGGCGTCTCTCATTATCAAATGGTGGTTTTGGGATGTTAAACCCCACAAATCAATCAATCAATCAATCACAACCCCTTCGATGCGGTGACGTATGCCACCGATGGAAACACGATCTGTCCGTCACTGTCCGTCGGGTTGAATAAGCACGTTTTTCGCGGCACGAAAAACATGTCCCACATACAAAGCCGCGAGCGCAAGTCACTGCGCAAAACAGAAGTGGCCGTACCGGTTTCAACAAGAGCGTACACAGGAATACCTTCAAGATTCACTGACAACATATCGACTGGGTGAACAGAAAGTATTTTGATGATCGACGGGATGCACTATTTCCTGCAATAACTTGAATGCTTAGTTTTCTGATTGCTGTTCCACAAGGCGGGCGCCGATGGGACGAAGCGGCGATGCGGAGTGGTGGTGGTAGGGCAATGGGGAGCGTTGTCTGGAAGAGCGGTAGTCCTGCTGTTGACAAGGGGACACTGGAGTATACGGGGAGTGGTACTGCGTGAACGGGTAGACGTCTGGACTATAGAGACTGGGCCATCGGAACCGGTCTCGATCTAACTCAGCATAGCCTCGTCGTTCCTTTTTCTGGCGCTAATGACAATAACGATGAGTTTGGCCTCGGATCGCGCAGTAACAGCAGACTGGACGGAATGGACAACACCAAGGATACAAGTGTGCAGCAGGCATTCCTCCACGCACAGCTGACAAAAGCCTACAAGCAATGCCTGTAGACTAGATAATTACGAGAGCAGGTAGAATCGCAGCTATCTGCTTATGTGGGCATAACATTTTGAGGAAGCGATGATGCCGGTGTCGTCCTGTACATCACCTCAGTGCATATCAACATCGTTGTGCTGGTAGAGCGAACAGTCCTGTCGATGACGGCATTGCCATTAACTTCTGCCTAACAAGATCACGTCGGTCGAATGTTGGCGACAAAATGGAAGCGATAGTGGGGAACTGCTGTTTGAGGTTCCGAACTTTTTCCCGGATAATGGCAAGGATATGGGATTTTATTTCAGAGGGAGGCAAAAGACGAGGATCGCTTTCTTGTTAAAGCCGGAGGGAGTGCAACTGGTCAAGGCATTGACATGTCGAAATGATGTCTGCAACCGTAGTGAGATTGCCAACAGCCAAGGCATTGAATTGAATTGGGCCGATTCATTGAAGGATGTGGCGAACGCGCTCGTCTTCCGTCATGTCACTGTTTGCACGGCGACAGAGGGCCAGAACATGCTCGATATATGAAGTGCATGACTCATGTGCAAGTTGAAGATACACAGCGAGCTTCTGTTATGCGATTTGGGAATGACCCGACGAGCATCCGAAGATTTGTCGCAGTTTGGTGGCAAAGGTTGACACATCGACGGAATCGGCCTTTTCATAGAAATATAAAGTTTTGCCACGCTGGTCAAGCAGAAAGGAAGGCAGGTCAATTTTTCCTCTTCGGTCCCTCGATTGGCTGAATCGACACGGTTGTAAAAGGTCGTGTCGATCCTCGACGTTGCGCCACGGAGACCCGCGAACATTGTCGGTTCGCGCTGAGGGCTGGTGACAGTGGATGAATAGTGGGCAGCTGCCGGAATCGGTGCTACACCGCCGGGGCTAGGTGTTAAGTCCGATGTCTGCATACCTGTGGGGTTAGCCAGGTGCAGGCGGCGACCGGATTTGAGGTCCATGTGGGAAACGAACGTAGGAAGACGTCGTGATCTTGACCCACCAGCACCGTACTGAAAGACACAGGAACAATTGACCAGGCAAGGCCAACAGAACCGTTTATTCCGTGATGTCTGTCTCAGCTCCGAACGCTAGCGAAAAGGAACCGATTATGGGTATGTACAAGCGAGAACAATGAAGTGCTTGAATTTTGCTTACACCATATGCACTTCAATGATCAAGCATGCTATGGCGAAGCGTTCTCGTAGACCCCACAGTATTACGCTAACTGAGTATGTGTGTCATATTCACATCATGTAGCCACAAAGTTCAAATTATTACAATAACATTGACTTATGTACTTTAAGGGGTAGTTTTGACATTGGGTCACACCATAAGTTACCCTTTAAATGCCAGTGTTGTCGACGTGACTACTAAGCCCACGATGTAAACACAGGTGCTACGATTACTAAAACACGGCCACCACAACTCAACGCTTGGAAACAAACAGCACCGAAATACTCGTGGTTTGCTTCACGTTTAATGAAGTTCAACGCTGCATGAAGTCCATAATTTTCCCCTTTTAATAAGTTTTTTATTTCCTTGCAGTTGCGAACTATGCCCTCACGCTTGTGTTTGTCATACTGATGAACAAAGTCGAAGCAATTCTTCCGTCTGAAGGCTGGATGTGCTGGATCCACCACATTACAGCGACCGCTGCCTTTAACTTCTCATTCATCGATGTTGGTGACTCGTCATTCCGGACACTGCGTATCCTCGTGTATGCGAACGGCATGCTTCAAAATGGAGAATGTGTCTCGGAATTCTTCCACGAGAGGCTGAACCATGGTGCCCAATTGCATGCTTATGTTGGTTGGGGAGTGCTAGTAAGCTTTGCAGTTGGTAAGTGAAGCCATGAGCCCTGAAACTCATTGCTATCTCTTAGAAAGATGACAAAAGATGTCTGATCTCTATTTTCAGGAATTCTGATAATGCGAAAGAGAAACGTGTCTTCAACGAGGTAGTTGAGCGTTTATTTTGCATTGTTTTACCACAAGAGTGAAGGAATGAATACTACGTAAACAAATAGCACTTTCAATCGAAGAATAGCAAGCAGCTCTGAACTCACAGTATGCACCTCATGCAGAAAACACACACAAAACGAGCATACACAGCACGAGCACGCGCAAGGAATTGTCCCTGCTCGACACTTAAAACACCCTGTTCGAACAGAAAGACGCATGAAACGAACCCACAGGTATACAAAAGACGCATGCGAAAATCTGTCACAATCATTCATCGTATGAAAGCAGCGCGCTCCCTCCCTAAACGCCGCCGCGGCAGCGACCCAGGTGAACTTCAAGATCTCCTGAATTACGAGTCTGTTCTGGTACGCGGGCGCGCAGTCCAAAATACAATGCCCCTAGCAAGGCGCGCTCAAACAAACGCGTGAGGAGCCCAGCGCGAGGCTGTCATGCCATCTCGCTATTAATAATGAAAAGGCGCTAAATTTTCGAAGCTTTGAGGACCGCCAAGTGGCGTATTCTGTATATAACTGTATAGCATCTATGGCAATGCTCGCTCCGTGGCCTAGCAGTTAGCGCAGCGTGCAATAAATTTAGAGGTTGTAATTTACGTCGCGTCACGGAATTTATACTTTTTGTGTAAACTCCGAAGTTCTGTTTCACTAAGTTATATTCACGACGGAATTACGTTGATGGAGTGGTGGTGGACTCAAGCATAAAACACTTGCGTATTAAAGAAATGGCACTGAGGAAAACGCGTTTCTTACACGACGTCGTATCCTCTATCAAATGTCGCAAGCATCATAGCTATTTTGCGATAAGCACTGCTTCGCTTTTTGTTTTTAGCGTGATATTGCTACCAAGGTCAATTCGTTGATATTGTGTGGTCAGTGTCAGTGCAAAAACGGATGTAGATGTCATTGGTGGTGAGCAGACAGACAGGGTTTTCCGTGAACAAGAGATCTCAAAGTACGCAGGTAGAGAAACATTAAAAACACCATCCATGCCCAGCGTTCCGATGGTTAACCGGCAAAGCTGAGACGTACGGGACCAGGTACCTCCAGAAGTTGCAGTTGAAGCCAAAGTGCCACTGCAAAATCTATCGCCGAAAACGGGTGCTTACCCCGGTGAACGCATTGCATCTGTTACCACGCTGTCGCTGTTCTCCACAGAAGTGTGGCAGCTTGGGCTAGTTGGTATGGCATGACGAAAGTTATAGCGCGAGAACAAAACGACGACACAGAGACAAGCGCTCGTAACTTTCGTGTCCTTCTTGTCTCTGTGTCGGCATTTTGTTCTCGCGCTATAACTGTCGTCTCCACAGAACTTTGCTGCCACTGCTCGCTGTTGTCGCGTGCATCGTCTTGAAAGGCTGGCTGATACTCGGTGCGCAGCTGCTGCTTGCGCTTTGCCACCAGAGTCTGTAGTTGTGCCCAAACTGCTGCATGGGCCCGGTGAACATAAATTTTGCTCACAGTCAGCGTTAACCACTCTTACTGGAAAGTTTCCAATCGTTCGGGTGTTCGAACAATCCGTGTCCTGTCCATGTGGAAGTTGTAAGTTGAAACTGCTGCATGCGCGCTAGGCGACGAAGCCAAGGGGTGGATACTCCATATACTTGCCATGTATTCGCTCTCGACACTGGCAGCGCCGTTTTAACACTGGCGCTTGCCGGGCACCCAACTAAAAGTACATCAGGAACAGAAAATTTCTTTCATGACGTCACTGGTGAGGTCTACAAACAGAGGAAAAGGAAGAAACATCTATAGAAGGAGGGTTGCCACGCAAGCCCTTCTTTCCCACTTCGCATGCAAGCAGAATGCGCTCGTGCTATCTTTCGGGTCCGCTGGCAGCTTCGGCTATGCTGCCATATTATTTTATTTTTTTATTTAGGTTTTGTTCGTGTTCTATGAAGAGACAAAAGTTGACTGATTTCTCAGTTAAATGAAACTCGATCGACACCAACGAAATGCGCTCTTTATTGCATGTTTTGCACAAAAAAAGGTTACATACACGCAGTGTGAAACTGTTAGTCTATAAACGCAGCTTAAATTTACAGCTGGCATAAGAACATAATGAGCAAAATATACAAATCTATGCGAAAATTGTCAACAATTGCGAGTAGTGCACGTAGTATTTGACTCAATCACGTTTGTTATGACGGTAACGATAGTTTCCTTACAAAACTCGAGTACCGACCGAGACCACCGTTCAGAGGCGAAGACAGGCTTGAAGTGATCAGACGTTTTTCTAAAGAGAACGTTGCTCAAAACAGTGTTTCGGTAAGTTGACTTGTCTTCGTAAGAGCAACAGCGTTGTTTTGACAAAGAAAAGTTTGCTTGTCGAAATGCTGGCTCTATCAACATTATCTGTAATAATTTTTAGAAGCATTCAACCTATCACGTGTATTTGATTGACACTATCAGAAGAAAAGACTCACAAGTTTAGAAGTCCTGGCTGGAATAGTTTAATGAGCTGGAAGCAGGCTGTAATAATTGACATCAATTAGGCTATCCGCCAAAAGTACAAGAAACTAAAAATAAATAGCCGAGCCAGTTGCGATTCATACCTTTCAATAAACGCATTTTCCCCAACAGGAACTTGGCTGCCGTCTTCCCCAATAAGTCAAGGGACATGGCACTTCAGTCAGTGCAGTCAAGCTTGCAGAGAACTGATTTACTGATATCTACTCAAGCAAAATGAGCACCTGCTCAATTAATAAATTCGAATTCCCACGCTCACCCGTTACCTTTAGGAAACGCTGAAAACCTTGGCGGAACTAGGAATCCCAGGGTCAGTACATTCGCCGCAGAGCCGCGTAAAACGTGTTGCCCGATCAAGCCATTGTCGACGAATGCATTGCAGACTTGTTTGGTGTAGCTTACTGTGGCTTCTGTTCTGTGCCCGCTACAACTGGCTGTCTTTATCTTTCTCATAGTTGGCATGCCAACTGAGGGACATAACTGAGTGCGATCCAAATTCTGATACCGCTGAGTGAGGGGCGGGAAGGAATGGAGGCAAGCACTACAAACGCAAGTCAATCACTCTCCGCGCTTCGCCTCTTTGAAATTCCCGAAAAAATTAGGAAGCACATATAAACAAGAGAAATTTTTACATGGGTATTATCGTTTTTTATTTGGAAAAACTTGTAAAACCCAGTAAATGCGAACATATACATAAACCTGATGCCATGCAACCGGATCTTAGGATGCCCGGCAACCACAACGAGCGGGCATGTTCTTCAAAACCGAAACTATAGCACTCCGTTTCCGGGGTCTGATGACGGTACGAAGGAATGAACGACTTCACGGACGGCGCAGCCTTTGGCACACGCACTCGCGTACGACGCAGAGAATAATACCACTAACGGCCCTGTCAATAGCGCACGTACTTGGGTACGAAGTAGTTAACGACGTAACTGGTGGCGCAGTCAACCAAGACTGCTATCGGAACTCGCGGTGAACGGTTTTTTGCTTTGCTTAGCCGCATAGAGCGTTTTCTTTCAAGCTTTCCGTTTCAGTTAGAGTCAAACTCGGGTCTTCAGCGTGGCAAGGAACTGCTCTGCTACAGAGATGCGGTAGCACATAAAACTGCTTCAGAACATACACACACAAAACATCCCCAAGGATCATGATACTGCCTGATGCGAATTCAGTGCCCAGCTTCGTGTTGATGTGACTGCCAACTGTGCCGCATGTTTATTCACAAATGTGAAGATGTAACTTTAGTTACATGATTCTCCTGATACAGTTAGAGCTCGAGTGCTACGCGCTGCACTCTATTTATTACATGCGTCACAATAAGCATCTGAGCGTCGACAGCACTAGTGTGCTACGCAACCCACTTTTCACATTGCAGGCGTCGTTTAATAATGGTGTCGTCCAATGGTAAATTCGGAGCTCTTCCGGTAATACTTTCCTTCTGCTCCATTCGGAGCAAGTATATTCCATTGGAGGATTCAAAGCACTCCCTGTATTTTCTACTGGCAGATTTGGAGCAGCTTCGTCGCGAAATCTATTCCATGGAGAAACTTTTTCAACTCCACAAAAATTGGCAGATTCGATCGGAAGTCGCAAGTACCCCGTGCCTTGAAATCGTGCCAACTTCTGGCGTGCCAACACACGCCGGTCGCGTCAGTTGCGCTTCGCGTCGGAGATCGCATTTCGCTAGCGTAGCATCGCTGTGCCCAGCGTGCTCACTGAAGCAAGAAGAGAGACACGTGCATCGCGGTCCGTCCTGATCCTGCCATTTGCTCCAGAGGGAGTGCGTGTGTTTCATTGGTAGATTCCCTTCTGTTGCCCTCCGCCAGTCTGGAGTGCTGCGGCGCAGAGTTCGTCGGCCACTCCAAATCTGCCAAACGATCACATCATAAGTGAAACACCAACGGCCCCTTTGCAAAAAGCGAAGAATGCCGTAGTATGCGGATAATCCCTGACCGAGGGGCCAGTGTGCATGACGAAAGAAGAAGGAGGGGTTAGAGGTCAGTGGCTCGGATTGTCGACACACTCTGTGTTCACTATTTATTCACAAAGTAAGCTCTATGGCTCACTCCGATGATGAAGCCCGAAAGCGACGCTGCCCAAAAGAAGTATGGGCACGTAATAGTTGCGTTCTAAAACAATGTATGAAAGTCATGCTGAGAGAGAACTGTCTTTAACGCTTGCAATATTCGGGGGCAGAAACGTAGAATGGTGACAGTGGCCGAAACTTACTAGTTACGTAAATGGTGGGTGTTTAAAGACCGCTTCATGATCAAGTCTTTGAACATACTAAATAAATAATTGAGATCAGCAAAAGCATGAACAAAATCATCAAGCGCGTAGGTTCACGTGTTGCGTTATGTGCGCGTAGTGAGTCCTTCGTAAATTCACAAAATGAAGAATTAAAACGTCTAGGATCCTGCGCAACGATGCTTTCAGTGGGCAATTTATGATAGTTTGAACAGAGGTTTGTTTCTATGTGGCATACTGCGAGAATCAAAGAAGGAAAAAATTCACAAGGCAATACGCACGTAGTATTTTTACGTTGTGTTCGGCGGCTGCTACTATGTTTAATATTTCAGGTTTTTCAACCCACCGCTATATAATTATGATGGGCACAGTAGCGAAGGCCTCTGAAAATTTTGTTCTTGTAGCTCTGCGCACAGAGTACTCACATCGGAAAGTAGACAGGCCTGTTGCATCTCGACTCCATCGTAAAGTGACCGCCACGGTCGGAATCGATCGCAGTCCATTTAGGTCAGTTGTCGAGCTCTATACCCACCATTGCACTTTGGGGTCATTTTAAAATAAAGTCGAAGCCAAAGGTCGTGAGATTTGTTTTAACACGAGGTGGTATATTGAAGCCTATGGGGTGGTTTAGTCTAGAAAGGCTAAAGTATAGGAGTTGCTGGTTTCGCTTGCTGGGGATTAAAAATGGTAGTTCCGCGCACTGATGAGACTCATGACCAGAAAGCACCACGAGGAGTACTAACCATCGACAACACCTAATTTGTGGAGCACACTAAGTGATCATATTTTTATGATCTGCGAAAAAAGAAGAAAAAACTGAAAAAGTCCCCTCTCAACATGGCGAAAACATTTTATGGCCTCAGGACAATTAGCTGTTTATCACATAGCGCGACATCATTTTCTGCTCAACTCCTTATTTAAGAACCTGCTCTACATTGACTATTTCATGTGTCATTATACTATTATTTTCCTTTAACGATGATGCTGCTGTGAATGCGGCTTGCAGCCACATGTGCCGTAGTGAGAGAGCTGGCAACCATTCCACCCATTTTATTATTTTTGTTTGAAGCGAGAATGTTCTAGGCACCCATCATTCGCGAACGAATCTGTTCTCTTAGGTACCGTATTCGATGCAAAACAGGTGCGGGAAATAAACAGCCAGGTCGTAAATTGCCCGTAAAGTGACTGGATCTGGAGAAACAGTTAATTCCATCGGGACATGTCATCTAAATTCATCAAGGTAATTTTCTTGAACACCAATAGGCGCTTCCAGTGCGATTTACACGCTGTAGAGTTTTCCTCCAAGCCAACTGATCATGCCTGTACGGAGATCTTTGTTCAGTTCAGTCAGTGGTGGAAACAAAATTTAGATGGCCCTCTTTCCTTCTTCCCTTGTGCTTTGAGAAAAGAAACAAGTTTTCAATGATTTCGGCCCTGCTGCCTGTCTGAAAGGTTTTTGTGTTGGCAGAGCTCAACAGTAGCGGTAAGGCGAGCGTTTTGTCTGCGTTCGTGCCGTCTAGAGGGGTGTTGAAATCTCTGGTACAATTCACAGCAGCCGGCTTCGATGGAGTCATTGCAGGCCAGGAAACGCCACTATAAATGGCACAATGATGCACAAAGAGGTAAAGATCAATTATTATAAACAATTTGTGAGAGTTTGGTGCCTCGTCTTTGTTGAAAGTGATAGTCATATATACACGCACGTACGCTTACACAAACTACCACCTTCCCAATCGCTAGCCTGCCACCACGTATTGGTGTAGAGCTTAAATATGCGGCAAAGAGAGCGAAACGCAAATGCTGCAGTGCTCCTTCTTTATTTGAATAAACGTCAAAGTTTGGCACAAAGTTAAAGCTGATGTGTATTGATGTGAAGCTCAGAACTAAGGACGTTGACGCAGCCGACACCGAATTGAAATATCTGTCGAAAGAGCCTCTTAACGCTGATGAGAGAACATGGTCATGCATGGTGACCGCTTACATTTCCGTTCTTCCCAACTCCATTAACTAACGCTATGGGTGTCTTGAAGCAAGGGAACATATGTGCTCAAGTCAAAGCTAGCCATTATCGATATGACCGAGAGTGAAGGAAAGAGTTGTGATGTCGCTACTGCCTGCATCATCCCAAATAGTTCGCAGAGCATGATGTTGAAGAACATGATCAATATCAGGGCCGAGATGAAATAGAAGCTTCCCAAGTTTCTACATTGCGCGATTTGCACGTAAAAAATGTCGAGACAGCTTTCGTGTTGATACCGTGTATTTTCTCGTATGACGGAATCGCCAAACAACCCACACCAGAAAAATTAGTGATAACAAAGAAACAACTTACGACAAACTATGAGTGACACAAAAAAATGCCGAAACTTTAGGAAAGTGTGCAAACCAAGTTGGGTGTGCCACCTATGCGTCTACGTTTATTATTTGCCTTTATATTTCTTCTATACACCAACGAACAATAAGAAAGATTTCAGAATTGCAGATACCACTCCGACGGTTTCACGACATTAGCAGAATCATGGAAGCTTTTACGACAAATAAGACTCAGATCTGGTGACAATTTAAAACTGAACCCGTAAGTAGGAAAAATAACCACAGTAAAAAATTTTATGTAACTAAAAACAAATCCTACACGTTAGGCTTGTATTGCAAGAAAAATGTTAATTTGGTTTACTTACACATCGCTGAGCAGTAGTGGACTACTGCTTTAGAAATATTTAGGAAGTGTCTCGTTCTGCATCCTCCCCATTCGGTATTTGTGTTTCGCACTACATTTGAGAACTTGTCGTTCATTTTCTTATTGTTGGAAATAATTATTCATTTCACAGGAAAAAAAGTACGATTTTACGCCTAACATTTGAAGAGGTTGCAAAGCATTCATTTCGTTTTTGGGTGGTATTCGACTCTCAGCAGGTATTCGAACATGTGTAAAAAAGTTATTATTTTTTATGGTACTTAGCAAGTTGGCTTAAACGACAATTTTAAATTGAGAAGCTTCAGCTTTTAGAGATAAATTGCCATTCTTTTCTGGTAACTTCAATATCATCATTTGTAAACTTGCAGTTGAAAGCTGTACCGTCATTCAGATATGGTGACGTAATGGCCATATTTATTTTTCGGTAAACGTATACGAAAAAGAAGACTGTTCAAGCTATGCCATACGTATTTGGCATTCACAATACATCCGAATCAAATGCCACCCAAAATGCGTTTTCTGTGCGTGCAGATATGGATCAGATGTTTGTCTGTTTTCCAGGTGCCGGTTTGATATGGCTGTGTTTGTGGAAGGGAGAAATGCTACCCGGACATTGTTACTTGTTTCCAAACAAGGAAACAACAGACTCCGAGGTAAGGTGGCAATCTTATATATAAAACATTCTGACGGGGCGAGATATAGGCTTAATGTGTAACGGCCACGGAGAATCAGCCGCCAAACAAGATGGCTGAGTCGCCTCTCACGCAAGTGCTAGACACACAGTCGTCTTCATCATCTTCAGAAAAATGCCATGGTCGCTCTTGTCGACGTTGCAACGTAATAATCTAGAATCGATTTAACACTTGCCTTTGATGAAAAATTACGCTAAGTAATCTCACATGACAATATCTCGTATATAACACCAAAGTTTAGCAAAAACTTTTGCTGAAAACTTTACTTATGAAGCCGTGCTGAACATGTTACGCTTACAGGATGCTAGCAATTGAGTTCATTACGAAGCTTCAGAATAAAAAAATTTGCCATAAGAGCTCATAGAGCCACATGTGCATCTGCAAATAACGACGAGAAACTGAGATTTATCTGCGTCTTTCTCTTTTATAATGTCATGAGCTGCCTAGATACCTGAGCTTGACGACCACAAAGTGCTAGGTAGAACGTGCATGGACTGCAGCAGCGTTGTACACATTTGCCCGCAAATATAATTTCACATATGGCTTCTTCCGCGTATATATATATCAAAAGGTTTATTTGAAAAAAAAAACAACAAAAAAGATATGGGGAGCATGTGGGTGGGGCCCCTATTCTAGGGCTCCACTGGCTTTAGCGGGCCACTGCGCCTGGTCGAGGAGCGCTAGTTGTACTCCCAGATCCTCGCTGGCGAGCAAAGTGTCCCACTGCTCCCTTGCGGAAATTTTGCCGGCTATTCGCGGCGAGTTAATTTCGGTTGGCCTTTTCTGAGAATCCCACATTATGTGGGTGTGAGTGCGCCTGCCACCGCACAACGGACAACTATCGCTGTAGATTGCAGGGTGAATAGCATGCATCAACGAAAGGTTTGGATATGTGTTAGTTTGTATACGGCGCCAGTCATAAGAATTCCGGCCGGGTAAAGCTGTGTGTGGTACACTGTACATTCGTCGCTCAAGCCGTTGGTTTTCACGGATATCTCACGGTAAAAAGGGACTGTCGTCGAAGTGGTAGGCCGCTCGGTTGGTTAAAACACGACCTGCGCCATCCGCTCTCTCATTGCCATCGTGTCCTGCGTGACCCGGGCACCAGATGATAGCATGGTCCTGCATTAGGTCCGGCCCTAATAGGCGAATGGTGTTGTGTGGTAGTCTTCCCGTGAGAAAGATTTTACATGCGACCATAGAATTGGTGAGAACAAGGGACGATCGTCCAAGAAAATTCTTAGCTTTATTAGCAAGCGCGATAGCTAAAGCTTCAGCGTTATTTGCGGACGCGACTCGTGCCGTGCCGCAAGTCATAAGGCCTTGACCCGGGGCCGCTCCTACGACTGCGAGCACGTACTTGTTCGTGCCGCATAATGCGACATCTGTGTACACCGTGTCCGGATTGTTCCCAAATTGCCGTTGTAACTTGTGAGCTCGTGCACTCCTACGACCTTTGTGATATCGGGGGCTCATGTTTTTGGGGATAGGGGATACTAGAATCTTTTCCCGTAGCTGTTTAGCCATGGACTCCAGTTCCTCTCCCGCATACTGAGGACGAGCTGGGTAACCTACACGGCGTAGCAATTTTCTTCCTTGCAGTAGTTGTTAAGTTGAGCCTCTTCCGTTGAGAAATCAGCACCGCTGCGCGTAACTCCTCATAATGATTGTGTATACCGAGGGCTTCGAGACGTTCTGTGGACGTTTCCAATGGTAGGCCGAGATCCGCCATGTACGATGTTCGTATCAACGCATCTAGGGCCTTTAAATAAGTTTTACTGATCTCCTGAAAAGGAAGACAATATGTTATTTTGTTTAGAAAACAATTATTTACAGCATGTACAGAACACAAAGGCTTAATATGATTCCCGTAACAGGGCACATACACATCGGCACATCTATATTTCACTACTAACATCACTACGTTACAGCGAAGACATTTGCTCTAATATACATGATTTTATTTCCTGTTCTGTCAACAATAAACCAAAAACGTATCGGTTCTGTGGTCTCTCTGGTCCTTCTGAAACATGGTGCCGTGACCAGGGTGATCTGAAGACAGACGCAGAGACTTCAACCCCATTCGCAACAACGGGTTGAAGAACGAAGCAGCGGCGTCTGGCTCAAGGACGAACCGTCGAGAGAAGGACCATGACCGACGACTGTTGGCGACACACATAAACAGGCAAGAACTCTTTCAACACGTTTTAAGTATGAATAAAGAGGTCCTATCGAAGAAGCGGAAGACGCGTCGAGCCAATGTGACGACGCTTACGAGCGAAATCGATAAGAAGATAGAAGAAGACGCAGATCGAGCGCAACTTATGACGCTTCTGAACCAGATGAAGAGCGTGTCACAGACGCTAAGATAAGTTAATGAACAGATTGAACCGTTCATTGAAGAAGACGATGCGGAGGCAGAATTTGAAAAAGTTTTGCATTATGAGATGAAGATAAACACAGCAACGACAAAAATAGAAGAGCGATTACGCGAGTAAGAAGAAGGGACGCAATTGACTACGAGAATAGTCACAGAACAGGCGAGCTCAGTGCAAGGTACTAACCAAATCTCGGAGACGCAAGAGCTTGTTAAGTTGCCACGTCTGCCGAAGAATAAAAAAACATGCCGAAGAATAAAAAAGTTAATTACCTTCTGGCGTCTCTCAGCGGGGAGGCTGCGTTTCTCATAGAAGGTTTGCAGTTTTCTGATCAGAATTACGAGCATTAACGAGCATGCAGTCGCTCTTCTGAAAGAAACCTTCGGACGAGAAGATAATTTAAGAGAGACCTACATAAAAGAGCTTGCAAACTTGGAAGCAGAGTGAGTCCTAAAGATGTAGATGGGTCGAAGAAACTCTTCCAAAAGTTTCAAGTAAACACACGAGCACTGCAGTCGTTAGGAGTGGAAATGGATAGTTATGCCACAGTGATAGCTCCTGTTGTAAAATCTGTGCTACTGGTGGATATGAGGATTGAGATGAAGATTAAAGAAATAGAAAAAGGTGACAACAGACCAGCAACTACGGAATCGAACTCAGCGTCAAGAGACAGCACGAGCAGTTTGAAAGAAATTATGCAGTTTTTAAACTTATATATACGCAGCAGAGAAGAAACTCGAGAGGAAAAATACGACGTGACCCAGTCACCACACAGTTTGAGGCGGACTAGAACATCTGCGCTTCAAAGCATATCGATTAAGAAATGCATCTACTGTGAGATGACTGGACACTACACGGAAGATTGCAGAAGAAGCATTAGTATGCAACAGAAGAAAGAAGCCTTGCAACGGGAACAAAGGTGCTTCAGATGCACCAGACCTCACCACACGGCGAAGATATGCCGCGCTAACGCAAGCTGCAAAACATGCAAGGGAAGGCACGTGACATCTATGTGTCGATCACGTACGCCTGCAGGAAAGTCAGCACAGCAGCAAAGCGGTGATGTTGAGCAAGTGCGTAAAAGCGCGCAACCTGACCGGTTAGACACCAGCAAGTCCTGCAACATGCACGCACAGCACTGTGATGAACACAAGTGCATACTACTGCAGACAGTCTTTCCATGGACGAAGGGACAAGACAGTGGGTGCTACTCACGTATTCTGCTCGACAATGGGAGCCAGAGGACATTCATTCTCAAAAGATTGTCAAGAAAACTATCGTGCAAGGTAAAAAGATCCGAAAGGATTACTCTAGGATCATTTGGAGGAGGACAAATGGAACTAGAAATGAAAGTCGTCGAGGTCAGTGTGAGGTAGGATCCCATCTCGGAGTCAGTCACGATTGAGGCACTGGAGATAGAAGTTATATCCTGTGACGTGCTACCATCGCCACCGTTGACAATAAACGAAAGAGCAAGGTCCATGGGAATTTGTTTGGCTGATGACAAGGAGAAGATGGACAAAAGAAGAAAAAAATATAGAAACTTCTATAATAATTGGAGGAGATTATTACTGGACTGTAGTCACTGGTCGCATTTGCGAGATTCATCCAAAAGTAATGGCAATAGAAACAATATTCGGATGGACGGAACAAGGTCCTGTAGGACTTCATTGTGTGCCGATTAAATAGAGATTTTGGGACTTGAAAAACATGGCGTCAAGGAGAAACCAGCAACAAACATGAACGATGAACATGTGCTAGACTACGTCCGACAAACAATAGAGTTCAAGGCAGGAAGATACCAAGTGTGGCTACCATGGAAGGACAACGTGACATTGGACGACAACAACACCATTGCAGAGAAGAGGCTTATCCAGGTGACCAAGAAATTATGCAAGGATAAAGATGAGCTCCTAGCCTATGACAAAGCTATTCGAGAGTACTTCGAGCAAGAAATAGCAGAAAACGTCGAACAAGATGCTGGATCTGATATTTAGAACAAATTTGTGTACTACATGCAGCATCAAGCAGTAATTAAGAAGGCACGGTAAAGAACCCCAGGTGGTCGAAATTTCCGGAGCCCTCCACTACGGCGTCTCTCATAATCATATGGTGGTTTTGGGACGTTAAACCCCACATATCAATCAAGTAATTAAGAAGGACCAAACAACCACAAAAAGACGGATCGTCTTTGACGCATCGTCAAGCCAGAATCCAGGCGAATCCTTGAATGACAATTTGGAAAAGGGGCCAAACCTAATCCCGTACATCACAAGCTTGCTGATGAACTTTCGACATCACAAGATCGCTATGTCAGCCGACGTGGAAAAAGCATTCTTGCAGATTAAAATACATGAAAATGACTGAGACGCACTGCGATTTATGTGGTGGGAAAGAATACCCAGCGAAGATATGCCAACCCCGAAGATAAAAACGTGGAGGATGAGAAGGGTTACTTTCGGAACTACACGAAGTAGCTTCCTTGTAGCGGCCACGATTAATTGGCATTTGGATAAATTCGAAGAAAAATATCCTGCAGTTGTGGCGCAACTCCGGAAAAGAATCTACGTCGATGACGTTTTA